TCAACAAAAATAATTATTGTGATTTCTTTTTTTTTTTGGCCCCATAGCACTCCTAGTCTTATAGCACTATTTTTTTTTCTTTTAATTTTTAAATTTGTTATGTTATATTCTAACATTTCTTTTTGTTTCTTTAGCTGTAAAATTGGGATTAAAATTAAAGACAGAACTCTACTCTTTCTAATAGTTTCCCCAACAATTTCTTTTCATTTGTACCTTGGTGTAACTTGGTGTGTCAGGCACATTCATTATACATGTGACTGTGGATAAAATCAGTCTGTAGAGCTTAAAGTTTAGGTTTGACTATATAACACATGCATATATAAATAAATAATCTACAAAAATAAAAAATTTGTCACTGTCCAATCCAAAGCTCTTTAAATGTGCATCTGATTGTTGTACTATTTTCCCCACGGTGCCACAGGACAGTAACAAGGAAAGTTGTCACAAACCAAATAGCTTCTGACACGGATTCCTTGGTGTAGCAGCCTTTAAATCTGATAGAATGTAAATGCTAAGAATAGTAACAGTGTTTCATTTGTTTTTCCTCTGAATGTTAATGTAATTTTAGAGGATGAAACTGAAAACATGTTTGTACGTTTGTGCACTGTGCTTAAGTAAATTAAGAACAAGTGTAAATGCTCTGTATTCTTGCAGCACTATGTATGCTAATACAAAATGCTGTCAAAGGTTACCGCTGAATATTTTTCTATAACGATTCATTCTTAAGAGGAACTCCAGAGCAAAAATAGTTTGATGTAAAAGTTTGTGCATTCAAATAACATCACTGTATGGCAAAACAATATAAATAAAATTGCTCAAAATAGAGGAAGCATGAAAAGGTGAGGCCTTGCACCAAACTTTTAGTTTGTTCTATTTTTATCATTTTTCCAGTTTATATGGCATAAAACTGCTTTCCTGGTTGTGCAGCTAAGGTCACATAATCCATCACTATGTATATTATTAGTTATAATTTATATTAGTTATTATATGACATATGAGCATGAAAATGAGCATGAAAATAAGGGGAAAATGCTTAAGATTACATAACTTCTTAAGTACTAATTGCTAAAAAATTATAATAATATGTTGTGTTGATATCTTCTTACTGACATCACATTGAGGTCAGAGTCCTTTCTTCCTTTACATTGACACCTATACCTGATAGACAAATGTCTGCTGACACTAAATGTTCCCATCTGTACATCAGTCAAACATACACATGAATCACCATTAGAGCTGAAGTGACAGAGGTGCAATTTCTGGGTGATAATTAAAAATGGCAAGAATCATCCCAATTACCCAGTCATTGGCCTTTTTACTGACAGTGCTTTTAATTAGTGTTAGAACTGTCTTTTTCTATAGAGGAAACTGAGCAGAGAAATCCTGTGAATGAGAAAATCGGTGGAGTGGGTGCTATGCTATGCTGTGGCTCAGAAGGTACTAATGTATAATTATCTGGGCATGTTGCTTGACCATGTGTGTTCAAAAGTTTGAATATTCCCACGTAAGTGAAAGCAACCGAGTATTGGTGTTGACTCCTTGTACTCAATTTAACAAGTGAATAATCTGTCAACGGAACACAAAGATGTCTAAATGCATGATGGCAAATAATTCTTACCATTCAGTAAAATCTTCAAAGATCCAAGGAATTTATACTGAATGATTCTATTCATTTGAAAATAGACCTGATCAAGTCTTACTTTCATCTGCACAATAGAAATCAAATTAAACCTTACAGTGCTTTTGAATTTTTTGTTAAACAAGAGTCATTGCCTTTCTGGCTTTGGTTTATTTTCTCTTCCTCTTGACAACTACTATTGGCACTATATTGACAGTCTGCACAGGACTGACAGAATGGATGTGGAGCAGCAGAATTGATTTAATGTTTTAAATGATCACAATCTGTCTGAATACGATGGATGGTCCTGACAGGCAGGAGACGAGGGAGAGGATTGTCACCTTACATAAAAACACTTCCTCACACAGGTGTGCAAGGTCATTGTGTATAAAGATGAATGTATTTAGATTTTTTTTCTATACCCCACAGATAAATCTGCAGAGGAGAATGAGAGTCACCGGCCTAATTACCCAGGGTGCCAAGCGTATCGGCAGCCCAGAGTACATCAAGTCTTACAAAGTAGCCCACAGTGATGACGGGAAAACCTGGAGAACATACAAAGTCAAAGGCAAAGATGAGGACATGGTGAGACAAACACACACACACACACGCACACACACACACACTGGGGAACACAGTCAGGCAAACCGAATGTCATCTCCCTAACGCTAAACCTCTTTAGCAGCTCGTGTGTAGTGCACTGACAAAGACACACACTTACTTGTACACTTGCACAAACGGTGACTGGAGACAAGGCACTCAGTCAAGGACAGGATGGAGGACGTGATGAGATGGCTTTTTAATTAGCTCCTACACACCAGGCCCATCCAGTTGCCCCCTTAACTTTTATGACTGCAAGATTGAATTTTTATACTATTTGGGAATGAACAGCCACCAAATAGGCGACAAGGTGTTCTATCATTCGTGACAGCAAACCACGGCTGTTTTTCATTTGGCTGTGCTCCAAACAGCTCTGACTTTCAAACTTCTGCTCAGTTTTTTTTTTTATATATATAGACTAACTGTATTGTAAGTCTTCCTTGGTCCACTGTTAAACAGGTGGAAGCTAACACTTAATTATTCTAAATCAAACAATGTTTACGCATAGAAACACAAAAAGTTAGTGCCTGTATTTACCTAATGTTAACAATTTTGCTTACACCTCTGGAGAGGGAAACAAGAATCCAAAAAAAGTAGTTGCAAACTATGAGCTCCCCTTTTGTTCCCATCAATAATAATAATAATAATAATAATAATAATAATAATAATAATAATAATAATAATAATAATAATAATAATAATAATAATAATAACATAATTGTGTTATAGTGTGAGACTGCCACAGGAGGCGCCATTTCCTTTCTTTCCTTTCCTTCCTTATTAAGTATATGGTTGCAACTCACAGGCTAATAATATACAACAGTAATAACAATACTAATTATTATGACAATCAACTGCATCAGCTTCTGGTTCCCTAAACCATAAAAGCTGAACAGGAGTCATTCATTGACATCTTATTCACACTGCTCTCTCTCTCTCTTCTACTTTATTTTTTTCCATCTGCCTCCAACTTTCTGAACACCTTATATGCAGTGCATCCGTTGCTCTAGTCAGATGCTCTCTGTTGGTCTTTGTTAGGTCACTGGGACAAAACACTTCCAGTATAACTGTAGCACTAATTCAAACACAACACCACTCTTATGAATTACAGGCTCAAATGGTGCAGGAAATTGTCTAGTTTTCCCTGTAATTCTATCTCATTGACCCTGAGTGACTGCAATTTGTTGACTACAGAGTAGACACTAGAGACGGCTCCAGATACACCGCTATGTTTCGACAGAGCAAACAAATCTGCTGTTATTTCATCTCCTTCACCAGATTTTCAGAGGCAATGTGGATAACAACACTCCATCATCCAACTCCTTCACCCCACCTATTGAAGCACAATACGTGCGCATTTACCCACAAGTGTGCAGGAGGCACTGCACCTTACGCATGGAGCTGCTGGGTTGCGAGCTAACAGGTGAGTTTGGCTTATTCACAGAGTTATTGCACAGTTGTTGTTGTTATTCCAGTTATTTTAGAGCTTTTCTGACTTTATTGTTGTTCTCAGGTTGTTCTGAGCCCCTGGGGATGAAGTCAGGTCACATCCAGGACTACCAGGTCACTGCCTCCAGTATCTTCAGGACACTCAACATGGACATGTTCACCTGGGAACCTGGGAAGGCCCGCTTGGACAAACAAGGCAAGGTCAATGCTTGGACAGCAGGACACAGTGACCAATCACAGTGGCTACAGGTAATGCACTCTATATTCATTCTATTGTGGTTACTTTAAACCTAACATTCTGATGGGGAATTAGCACATAAAAGAACAAAAGACAAGTCAGGCTTATGAACGCAACAGAACAGACTTTTACTCCAAGGATTATCCTGCTCCTCCCTGGAATAGTAATTGATAGTGTGTGTGTACGGACTTACATGTGAGTGTATTCATTTACATTTCATTGACATTTTAATAATGGTTGCAGGCTAAGTTATGAATGAAAACACATCCTGCATTAAAATCCTGCATCTTTTAATGAATCAGTACTAGGTACTCATCTCTCTCTTTTCATTGCCTCTCTTTGTTTTTTTACTTCAACACCCACACACCAGCCTTTGTTGACAGCATTTAGTGGCTCTATCTTTGGTAGCAACCCAGTCTCTGTATCTCTGTGTGTCTAGCCAATGCATTTGTTTCCATTACAGTAACTGATGGCTGAAAGTATCCTCTGAAAGGGTCAGGACATGTCTCTACATGCTGGTCCTTCTTTTTGTGAGATGAATAAAAGTTCGGAGAGTTTTCAATGCTCAGTCGGACCTTATTCATGTTTACTCTCACTTTTGTCCTGGTGTGATTTGGTCAATGACAAGAGTCGGTCATGTTTTCAGAGTGGGAGACACTAACAGACAAAACTGCCTCATATCCTTGATGGAATTAATAGCAAAAGTTAATTATTGTCACTGATGCACAGCACACAACTTCACACTTATTCCATCACCACATCACAGGGCAGCTCAAGCTGAGTGCCATGCTCAGTCTACCTCAGTGGGAACCCAGGTCCCACTGAGCGTGCGGTGGATTCAAACCTGCGACCTTCCAGACTCAAGTTTGCTTCCTTAAGTACCAGTCTGCCACTGCACCATTAATTTTTTTTTAAAAAGATCTTTTTTTTAAATTATTTATTACTATTCTTTATTTATACTATATTATTTATATAATATTATATTATTATTTATTATTATTATTGTTTATTATTAATTTTTTTTTCTGATTTTTATATAAATCCCTGCTTTATTTGATATATTTATTTTTATTACACTAAAAGATTTTTTTTTTCATAAGGAGTAAAGGCAGTATTCCTTTACTTCTAAAAAAAGCTTTTAGCTGAACAGAAAAAAGTTCAAAAAGCACAGAAATGTATCCAGACCACATCACAGCCAGAAAGCACAGCTGAGCAAAACAAATGGCTGTGGTTAAAGGGAAAATTGTGGTCTCACATTACATGCTGTGCCAAGAGAAAAAAGAAGACGCTACACAGACTCAGCTTCCACTGCTGACATTCATTTCATATCAGCCTAACGTAATGCACTGTCGACCACATAACGTTGTCACCGAACACACGCAGTCACTTGACCCTATAATAAAAAATATATATTTTTAGTCCACACTGGTGAACACCTACAATGGCTGTCCTCCCCAGAGCTTGGGGAATTATTTGATTTTCAGTGGTATCAGTGAAAGACATTTGACACACGTTTGAGATTAATAGAATTCATGAGCCTTAATGACAAATGAAGTTTTCCTTTCAATCAAGAAAAGTGCTCTGCAAGATAGAAATGGTTGACAGCCAGCAAATGTAGACCACACAGATGTCATTGATCTTTGTGTGTTTGATTATACATTGGCCATATTTTATGTTCCATATATAGGCACAAAGAGCAAAAAAAAAATACAAATAATTGAAAATTGTGCCTAATCTTTGTCAAATTTATCAGGTAGCAAACAGAAAGTGTACACATTTACACAAGTACTTTATGTCATGTAGTTTATTTTCAAAGTGGTCGGGCAGATTTTTAGAATTTTTTGTTAGTATGAATTTATAGTTTTTCTTCTATTGAAGTGATTAAAAATATGGACAGAAATGAAGTAGAGTGCTACTTACAGTGTTAATTGTTAAATTAAAGGTAATGAAAAATAGAGCTGGTGATGCAGCAGGTAAAGGCAATAAAGGAAATGTTCAATAAATTAATCTTGTTGAAAATATAAATGCATTTCTAGGAACTAATGTCAAAGGATAATTTTAGGAGCTGAGAGACAGGAGAACAACAGAAAGAAAGGTGGAGAATTGTGACGTGCGGGAGGAACAGTTAGGAACAGTGAGAGCAGCTATGATGAGGTTGAATGGTGGAAAGTGACTGGGTCACTCTGACAAAGCCCTGCAGTTTTAGAGATGCTTAGAATTGAGGCGGGTGGTTAGTGCAGAGTGACAAGACATCCAGTGCTGGACTGATGTGTGACAGGAAGATCAGAGCAATAGTGACGGGGAAGGTTTACAAGACGTGAGTGTGACCTGCTGAAGCCTATGGTTTGACAGCAACTCTGTCGAAGCGCCTGGAGGCAGAGCTACTCTGGTACCTCATATAACATGCTCTTTATCTTTAAATAAATTGGAATAACTGTTTATGAACCCAGAACCTAATTCCAAAGCTGTTTATTGCGGTTAATTTAGCAGAAGTGAATGGTGACACACCCTCAACGATTTGGGTTCATGCCCTTTAGTTCATTACCATGAAGCCCACAGACTCGGTACATCTCCATGCCTTCCAATACACTGCTTATTAAGGCACTGACAATATAATTATTAGCATCTCAACATACAACCGTTCAAATGAGGGTGTGGTTTTATGCTGTACATGGCTTTGTGTAGACACCGATCATTCATCACTTCATTTGCAACTTTATGGATTTGTTTTTGGCCCGGCAAGGTTTAGAAAAACAGGCTGTGGAAGCAACTCCAGTCTAACAGTCCATTTGTTATCCTCTATCTGCAAAGTTTTGACACCCAATTATCTCCTTAAAGAGATTAATATGTGCAGCATGGGGCTGCAGCACTCTGATAATCACCCAAGCCTCTGATGAGGCAGAGTGAGATAAAACCTTTGTGTGAAAACTTGAAAAAGACAGATAGTAGCACTTCTATAAATAGTGCACTGGGGCCCAGGTTTGATGAACTCTAAAATCAGTGTCAGTGATGAATAAAAATCAAGCAATGGGAAATGATAACATCCATCCATCCATCCATCATCAACCGCTTATCTGGGGCCGGGTCATGGGGGCAACAGCCTGAGCAGGGATACCCAGACTTCTCTCTCCCTCGACACTTCCTCCATCTCTTCTGGAGGGACCCCAAGGCGTTCCCAGGCCAGCCGAGCAACATAGTCACTCCAGCGTGTCCGAGGTCTTCCCCTAGGTCTCCTCCCAGAGGGACGGCACCCGAGCACCTCCCGAGGAAGGCGTCCGGGGGGCATGCGATGTAAATGCCCAAGCCACCTCAGCTGACTCCTCTCGATGTGGAGGAGCAGCGGCTCTACTTTGAGCTCCTCTTGTGTGACAGAGCTCCTCACCCTATCTCTAAGGGAGCGCTCTGCCACCCTGCGGAGAAAGCTCATTTCAGCCGCTTGTAT